GGTCCTACCTGCCCCCCTTTACCCCACCCCCACCCCCCGGCAAAGATTCCATGAACATCCTGGATCCCGAAGACGAGGAAGAGCACACGCAGGAGGAAGACAGCAGTGGCAGCAATGAGGATGAGGATGACAGCCAGGATGAGGAGGAGGAGGAAGAAGAGGAAGATGAAGATGATCAGGTGGGAGACCCGGACACTGGTGTGCCCCCTCTCCGGACACCTGGGTCCTCACCATGAGCGTGGAATGATGCCCCCGTTTTGGGTTGGGGTACCCCCATTTTGGGTGAGGGGTTGACATTTGGGGTTGAGGATGCCCCCATTTGGGGTTGAGGGTGCCCCCATTTTGGGTCAGGGTGCCCCCATTTTGGGTCAGGGTACCCTGTTTTGAGGTCAGGGTGCCCCCATTTTGGGTCAGGGGGTGACATTTGGGGTTGGTTGCCCTTGTTTCAGGTCAGGGTACCCCTGTTTTGAGGTCAGGGTGCCCCCCTTTCAGCTTAGGGTGCTCTCATGTTGGGTCAGGGGGTGCCCACTGACACCCTCCCCCCCCCGGGGTTGTTTCCCTCAGGATGATGAGGAAGGGGAGGAAGGGGAGGAAGAGGAGGATGACGATGATGGCTCTGAGATGGAGCTGGATGAAGATTACCCCGACATGAACGCCTCCCCCCTCGTCCGCTTCGAGCGCTTCGACCGCGACGATGACCTCATCATCGAGTTCGACAACATGTTCTCCAGCCCCAGTATGGAATTGGGGAGGGGGGCGCAAAAAAGGGGGGACATGGCGATTTGGGGGGGCTGTGGGGTTCCCCCCTTCGCCCCATGGGGTGGTGGGAAGGTGGGTGAGCCGTGGGTTGTCGTCTCCCTGTGGGTTGGGGGAGGCAAAGTGGGGTACACCCCTTGACACCCCATTTTGTCACCTCCACTGGTGGTTAAAGGGTTCACGCCCCCAGCACCCCAATTCTGTCTCCCCATGACTTTGGGGGGGGTCAGAAAGGGGTTCACCCCCTTGACACCCCACTTTGTCACCTCCCTGGGGTTTCGGGGGGGGTGATTAGGAAGGGGCTCACCCCCCCCAGCACCCCAGTTTTTCATCTGCTTTGGCCTTGCAGTATCTGGGGGGGCAGGTCAGGAAAGAGTTTACACCTTACACCCCAATTCTTTCTGTCCCCATGACCTCGGGGGGGGTAAGAAGGGGTTCACCCCCCTGACACTGCAATTTTTCATCTCCCTACTGCTTGGGAAGGGGGGTAAGAAGGGGTTCACCCCCCCTGACACTGCAATTCCTCACCTCTCCACGCCTCACACTATTACAGTGATATCAAAAAGGTTCTTCTTGTCTCTCCCTGACACCGCATTTCTCCCCCTGCCCCATTTTTTTTCAGCCGATATCCCCCCATCCCCTGGGAACATCCCAGCCAGTCACCCCCTCCTGGTCCGTCATGCCGACCACGGTTCCCTGGGATTGGGAACCGGAGCCGCCACCACCCGCCTGGCTCAGGGTTTGGGGCGCAGCCAACGTACCCTCCGGCAACTCACCGCCAACGCAGGTCACACCATCCACGTCCACTATCCCGGTGCTCGCCAGCCCAATCCCCCCCTCATCCTTCAGAGGTGAGTAACGACCCCCCCCGGGGACCCCCCAGACCCCAGTGCTCCATCATCCCTCCAGTGTGCCTCATCGTCCCCTAATTCATCCCTCAATGTTCTCTCTGGTCCCTTGAGGCCCCCC